CCGCCAGGCGGCTGGGCCGTGGCGCGGCTCGAGGGCCGGGAGTTCGAGTACCTGATGAAGAAGCGCTCGGTGACCATCGGGCGCAACTCGTCGCAGGGCTCGGTGGACGTGAGCATGGGCCACTCGAGCTTCATCTCCCGGCGCCACCTCGAGATCTTCACGCCCCCGGGCGGCGGCGGCGGCCATGGCGGGGCGGCCCCCGAGCCGCCGGCCGCGCAGCCCCGGCCGGACGCGGGCGGTGACTTCTACCTGCGCTGCCTCGGCAAGAACGGCGTGTTCGTGGACGGCGTGTTCCAGAGGCGCGGGGCGCCGCCGCTGCAGCTGCCGCGCGTGTGAGTGGCCGCGGGCGGGCGGGCGGGCGGGGGCGGGGTCTGCGGCCTGGCGCGCCGGGCGGGGGCCGGACCGGACCCAGGGCCCGACCCACTGGCCGGAGCAGGTGGCCCGCGTCTCGCGACCGACATCCACGCCACGAGCCCCCCGCAGACCCGCGATCCGGACCCCATCACGACCCCCCCGACCCACGACCGGGACCCACGCTCCCTCCTGTCCCGACCCACGCCACAAGCCTCCCCCGGACCAGGACCGGACTCGGGGCCCCGCCCACGACCAGGACTCACACCGCGACCCACTCCCCCCCGCAGGACGGGACCCAGGGCACGACTCACAGCCGGGAGGAGCTAGACCCCATCCCACGACCAGGACCCACACCACGACCCGCCCGCCCCCCATGACCACAACCCAGACCTACGCTCGTCCCGCCAGCCGGATCCCAACCCACGACACTTGCCCGGACCTAGACCCCAACCCCCAGCGAGGACACAGAGCACAGGACCCTCCAGCCCCCGCTCCCGCCCGCAGGTGCGGCCTCCCAGGCCTTCACCTTCCTGAAGTTAGAGCTGCGCGTGCCTGGGTCAAGGGTTTTGGGGTACTCCGTGCGTCCTGGGAGTGCGCATGTGTTGTTTCTAACCTGCATGTGGGTCTGGGTGAACAGAAACGTTAAAATGCATGTATTTGGAAGAACTGCCTCGAACTGAAATCTATGTCTTATTAGCTTACAAAGGGTTGTCTGTTACTTCCTTTTTGTTCACGTTTTCAGTAGTGAAATACTTAAAGATACGGCGTTTTGACTCCTTCTCCACCATGTTTTTTGGTAGCCTGAAAGTGGAAAAGTCTTCAAGCATAATAGATTTTAAATCCATGCCCTGAACCTTAAAACTTTGGAGAATAGATACTTAATAAAACTTTTTTAAAAAGACAGTTGATTATTTAGAAGTTATTAAAAGGTCAGGTAGAGTTAAGTGAGCCTCAAAGGGAACTGTCAGTCCTGCTACAAAACAAATTAGTTTGCTTCTGTGATTTTTATTAAGTTATCATTTACTCTGCTTGAAAAGCAAACTTGCTCTCTAGGAAATGCTAATTACTCCTCAGGGGCTCATTTCTAGATCATTGTAAGTACAGCCTTTGTCTTCAAACTGGAATTTTTAACTGCGTTCAGTTGTTGGGAGATGCTGGTCACAGCTGTCTTGCTTTTCTTAATTCCTTAACTTGTGCGTGTCCTGCACTGTTGCATAGACAGCCAGTGGAAAGGTGGACCAGCTGATTCTTTAAACCTTGATAGTAGCAATTTAAAGAATGTTATTTTCAAACCAAAATACTCAAATCAGTGGTAGGAGCCTAACGGTTGCCCTTTAATCTGACAGTTTGTTTACAAAAAACTCAGCATCACAACAAGGGAAATTATACATTTACTCTGAAGGTTTTGAGTTTTTAAAGAAAACTCTTTAATGATTGTTCAGCCAGAATCACTTGTGTTGAATTGAATTTTGCACGTGCCAGCGTGGTGAACGTGGAAATAAATTGACCTTTCAGTCAGTGAGGAGGCAAATTCAGACTTTCGAAGGATAGTGTGAACCTTGCAGGAGAGATGAGTAACTGAGGAGGAGGGTGAAATGGAGGCCGGGCCTCTGACCTTCACCTCCAGCGTGTGCACAGCGAAGAGTCCAGTGGTCTCCAAGGCCAACACAAGTTCTGCACTTCTTATGGGCCTGGTAACCCGACGACGTAGTGGGGTGGTTTTTTTCACCGAAGGGATTTTGGCATTTGTACGCTGAATTCAGTGATTACCTTGTAGTCTATTTCAGCACCTCCCTTTCTGTAAGGTATCACTGCCAAGTTTTTGGTGTAGGGTAGTAACACAGGTTAATGGAATGGGTGGACTCTAAAAATTGCTACTAGTGAGAGGTAGATAAATTGTTTTAAAAATTTTTTCTTAAATCTAAACTCAGTGTTCAAGTTGGTGTTACGAGTTCTTTTTTTAAGTTTAAAAATCAAATCAAGCATATAAGCTTAAAAGCACATGTAATTTAAAGTAATTATGCAGAGGCTGAAATATTCTTAATACTTACTTCAGATTTGCCTCTTGATTTTTTTGTTTTTATTTTTTGTGGAGATAGGGTCTTGCTTTGTTGTCCAGGCTGGTCTTGAACTCCCGCCCTCAAGCAATCCTGCCTGAGTCTCCTGAAGTGCTGGGATTACAGGCCCAGGTGTGAGCCACTGCACCCGGCTTTGCCTACTGAATTCAAAATCACTTTAGAGTTAGAAAATATGACAACCCATGGTTGGTCTCTTAATTGAACCACAATGATTTTATTTCAGTTACAACTTTAAAATGAATTTACATTTTGAATTTGTATTAAGAATTCACAGAGAATTTGGAAGTGTACATAAGTTTACGTTTAAGGTGTGGTTTATCATTCCATTGAAGTACTAGATAATGTGTTAATTTGAGAGGAAGAGAGAAAGATGAGGACTGAGATCCTGTTCTTGGCTGTCATAAGTATTTTAAATAACTTTAGTAAGATGTGAATACAAGTGCCTTTTCCATAGTGGTTGGTGAGCCCCACGGCCAGTGTGAATGGGTGTGTGGGGGCTCAGTGTGCACAGGAGTGTCAGGGTGTATGGTTTTCCAGAATACAAGCGATTTCTGCAGTCCTTGATTTTTTTTGCTGATTATGCCAGGGCTATGTGTAAAGAAATGCAACGTTTTCCTCTCTCAGAGCCTCAGACTCACTGCAGACACAGATGTTACTGGGACCATAGGGTGGGCTCCATAGGGGTACCTGGGCAGGGCTCCTGGAGGTGGGCAGGTGGAGGTGGCCTCACGGATGTGGCTTGGCCTGTAGCCTGGCGCTGGAGAAGCGGCAGTTTAGGCTGGAAGGGACCTTAGATTGTGGAACAGCTGGAGCTCGAGGTTTGCCTGGACCTGGAGGGGGCATTTTTACTTTGATCAGTGACAGAATGAAGACTGTCCTCTTTGAGGACAGAGTACTTGTTTGTCCAAGGGCCTAGTCTGGCATCTGAGACTAGTAAAGTGTTTTAGGAAGATCAGTTGGAAGGGAATGTGTGGTTTTGTTGTTGCTCTTACGGTTACCATGGTAGCAAACTAAGTATAATTTAGAAATAAGCAACTCTTTGTCAGTTTATATTTTGAAAATGGCAAATGAATTTGACACATTGTTGATTAATAAGATCCTATAATATCTAATAGCCAAACAAATAGAACAAGTTGAATTTGCTATTGCCCCAAACTATGTAACATGCAAAACGGAAATTTATGTAGAAAAATGACCCCTGTTCCTGTGCCAGATTAACTGCATGTCCGTTCTACCTCGTGGGCGTTCAATCCTTCCTTTCTTACGTGGCACGTTTTAACCTGCGGGTTATGTTTGGTGATGTGTTTGAAGACTTGCTCACTAACCAGAGGTAGCGTCCCTCAGGTGAGCACTGGAGAGGGCGAGCAGACAGCAGTCAGGCTTCCGGCGCTTTCCAGGTGGAGACTCCAAGAATGAGTTGGAGGAACTCACAGCCTGTGGGCCTCCTCAGGAAGGGTTTGGGTTCCCAGAGAATACTGGGACCACAAAGAGGGAAGTATGGAGGGTGCCAGGGCAGTCAGGAAGTTTAGGGCAATCTTTGGGAGGGCTGCTGAGCAGGGGGGTGGGGGCGGGGTTGGAAGGAGGGTGCAGGTGAGATTAGGGTTAGGAGGAGTGGAAACCTGCTAATTACCAGGTGAGTGGCTGAAGGAACCCACGGTAGGAGCCCTGGTGGGCCGGAGGAGGACAGAGTTCCTAGTAGGAAAAGATGAAAAATGTGGTTTTCTTGTCTGAAGACCTGAGCAGAGCTGATCAGAACAGAGCCACTAGTGAGATCTGGCGTGTTCCCTTCTTTAAGGGCTGAAAGGTTGGCTGAAATGCTTAGTTTTATGAGCTGACATTCTTTTCTTGACAGGCTTGTGAGTAGAACTGAGAGCCAGGGTTCAAGACCCAGGAATTGGCACCGTGTTGGTATAAAAGGCAGATTCTTAGCAGAGGGGCAAATGCCGCTTTGCACTTTGAAAAGTGCTCAGTATACAAATTAATTGCCTTTAATGACCACTATGTATTTTTCCTTTAAAAGCTATAATATGCGTTCATTTGGCAAATCAAGATACATATTTATCACTGATTTGTAGACACTGGGAACACAGTGCGGCTGTTTTAGCATAATCGTTACTTTAAGTTCAAAACCCAACAACCAAGCTGCTTCTGCTTCACCCAGCATTCAGTTCTTCCAGTGGTAAAACTCAACCCTAATCTCACCTCATTTCAATAATGTTTACTTAATGAATAGCTCAGGACGTTTCAGATCTAAAGTAATTTCAGTTTCTAACAGATTTTGCGAAAGAAGCCTATGTGGCCAGTCACCTGTTGGGGTCATTTGTGCACCGACTGGCTTTGCCAGGAGAGGGTGAGCACAGGCTCCTGGAGGACGGGGGCAGATTCCAGCTCGCACTTGCCTGAGTTTTAGTCCCTTACATTGAGTGGCGTGGCTGTGTCTGTGCCCCTGGTAGACATCAGGGGCTGCATCTGTTTTGTCCATCACAGTGTCCTTAGCACATTGCTTGGGGCCTGGTACAGAGGGCCCATGGGAATCTAAGGCATGACTGTCACCAGCAGGGGGACAGAAAACGTGATACAAGGGTGGAAATGTTCCAGAGGGCAAGCTGCCTTCAACGTGCTCACGTCACTCACACACACCTGGACACGTGTGTGCAGTAAATTGGTTGAGGGTCGAGGGCTTCTCGGAAGTGGTGAGCAGGGTTTGAAGTTTCGTCAGGGCCTAAGGATAAAGACAGGCTGTGGGGCATGGCTGGTGTCACCCAGGGGCTGGCCAGTGCTGGGAGAGGTCCATCTGCTGGCGCCCACAGCCTCCCCTCTCGGCTTCCTTACAAACCTTCCCTGGTTACAAGGGAAAAGGGGAAGTGCCTCTGCCCCAGGCAGGAGGCAGGAAAGGACCT